TAGCATAGCCATCGAGCCGCTAGCACAGCTATCGAGCTGTTAGCACAGCTATCGAGCTGTTAGCACAGCTATCGGGGCGGATATTATCACCATTGTTGAGAACTATTTGATGGGTATCACAACGAGATGTGGTCGTTGGCTGACCACGGGGTGTGACTACGGGGTGGTGGTCGCTGGCGAACAACGGGATGGGTGGGAACACGTGGGGCGGGCGTGGGACACACGAAAAGGAGCGTTAGGCGTCTAAAAAGCCAGATGAGACTCCCCCCAGAAGTGACACTAGACCCCCTCCACAAGAGGAGTCACACTAGCCTGTGGGAGTTCGGTTTTGCAAAATGGAGGTGATTGAAATATTGAGCAGTTTACAAGATGCCCTGCTCGAGGGTTGTGAAGGCAGCAATGACTTCCAGCAGGAATTGTTGGCCACGTTGCCTCAGATTGTGGTTGTGGGAGCTCAATCCGTAGGGAAGACAACATTGTTGGAGAATATCATAAGGTTCAAGGACATCTTACCTAAAGGGAGTGGCAAGATGGTAACGCGTTGTCCTGTGCTTTTACAGCTCAGCTATGACCGGCGATGTAAGTTCCGGGCGGAGCTTCATCTGCCGGGAAGCCGGAACCGGCTCGGTACTGGGACTGCCAGTGGCAAGCAGGCAGAGGGTCGGCCAGAGGTCCGGTCAGAGGTCCGGTCAGAGGTCCGGTCAGATGTCCGGTCAGAGGACCGGTCGGATCATACCGGGGCAGTTTCCGGGTTCGGAGTGTACCGGGAACCAGCTGAGTTGTGTGTGGCGTTGGAGAGTTATATGGGGGCGATTGATGGGTGGTTGGAAAGCGATATTGTGAGAGTGAAGATCCGTAGTTGTCGAACACCCGATCTCATCCTATTGGACCTGCCGGGACTGATTCGAGTTACGAGTCAAGACCAGCCGCAGGATCTGGATGCGTCTATCCGGCGTCTGGTGCGGCAGTTTTTAACCAACGAGAACTCCATCATTCTCGCCATAAGTTCCGCTAACAACGACTTAGCCAACAGTGATGCGCTACGCATGGCCAAGGAGGTGGACCCGCGAGGTGAGAGGACCATAGGCATTATTACCAAGTGCGATCTGGTCACCGACCCTGCCTCTGCTGGAAGAACCTGGACTAACGGAAGCGCAAACGACTTCCCGGCTAACGACCACCGGGCTAGCGAATCACGATCGGACGAACACGCGTCGAATGAACACGCGTCGAATGAACACGGGTCGAATGAACACGGGTCGAATGAACACGGGTCGAATGAACGCCAGGCCATTGGGACAGGGTTGTTGCAGTCGATGGACCCAGACGCAAGACTTGTAGGAGACACTAGACTCGCTGCTGGCAGGCAGGGGTCGGAACTGGTCAGTCGGCTAATCGACTCTACCTTGAACGCGCATTACCCGCTGGTTCTTGGTTACGTCTTCGTCGTTGACGGCGCTCATGAGTCGGCTTTCTTCGCAAACCATCCACAGTTCGCCAGTCAGGTACCCACCTCCATGTGTGGCACTGAAGCGGTACTGAACAAACTACAGTCAATCCTCATCAGCAAGATCAGACAGTTCGCCAAACTCCAACTAAGTCGACTAACTCAAAACTATAACACGACTGCAATGAAAATCAATGGTAAGAGGTCCTAGCCAAGCATCCTTTACCTGCAATGCTATCCTGCACTTCTATACTGCACTGTTATAATGCACTGCGGTGCTGTAGTTGGGTGCTGTATTGCGCTGATCGGTGATTGCCGTGAATATTTTTCACGTCAGTTTTGTAGCACTGGGAGAACCTTGCTCCCCGAGTGCGCGTGCGAACGTGCTTCTTTCGGTAATATCGCGCTATTGCCGCAGCGTTGACGATCTGCTTAAAGGTTATGTGCAGCAGCCGGCTCCAGGAATGAATCTGGCCGGAGAGCGAAGCAGCCAATCTGAACTTATCGGAGGCGCGAGGCTGAACTTCCTGTTTCAAGACTGGTTTGCCGCGCACATTATGGATATGGACCCGTTAAAGAACATGCCGGACTTTGAGATTCTTACCGCCATCAGAAACGGCAGCGGCAGCAATCGTTCTCTGTTCATTCCCGAAAATTCCTTCGAAGTGATTGTTAAAAGGAGCATTGGTGCTCTTTTGCATCCACTTTTGCATCTTGTGCATCAGTCGGCAAACGAGCTGAGAAACATCTACGAATACCCGCATCGCCAGGCGCAGAAATTCTCACCGGAAACGTGTGCGCACACGTGTGTGTACACTTCTTCGGTCAAGGAAAATCAATTCTCAGTCGCGTCCCTCTCTTGCCCATGCTCCGTGCTGGGTCTGCACGAGATTACGGAGCTCGCGCAGTACAGCAAGCTGAGTGAGGCGATTCGCGAGGTGGTCCGCAATTGTTTGGAGCGCAACCAAGATAGGACGCTCAGCCGCTGTCGAGACATCATTGACATTGAAATGACCTACATAAACAAGTCAAACCCTGAGTTTATTCAGCAAAAGATATTAATACAGAATTCGTTGCGGAGTCACGAGATGAGGTCTTCCAGTGGGCGGCGGGCGAGCGACGGCCGCTGCGAGTCGACCGGGTCGGGCAACCTGGGACCGATTCCGGCGGTAGGTGGCGGCATTAATCTGGCCGGCTTGGTGACAGTGGGCGGTGCAGCGGCAGGTGCGCGGAGCAATGACGCCACAACTAACGCCGTAGGTACTGTACCGGGAGGCTGTGCGCGTACTGGAGACTTGCCAGTGATCAACGTGGAGGACGCTCCTGACCTTCCGAACGTTTTGTCTGTATCCCCCGGCAGCCAGCCGCCAAGTGGCCGCCCCGCCGCCGGCGGCTTCCACGGCTACATCGCACCTTCGTCCACGTTTATGTCGTACTGGCGGAGGCACCCCATCGCATCCGCTGCACCCCGGGCGGAACCGACTCCGCGGGCAGTACCTGACAATGACGCCATTATGATCGAGACCGTGAAGCAATTAATTCGGAGCTATTTCAACATTGTCAAGAAACAATTGGCGGACTTAGCACCCAAAATCATTATGCACTCTCTCGTCAACGCAACCCTAAACGACGTTCAACCTCAGCTGATCTCCAACCTCTACGACGACAGTATTCGACCACCCACCCCATCCAGTCTTCGACCACCCACCCCATCCAGTCTCCGACCCCCACCCCATCCAACCTTCGGCCACCCACCCCATCCAACCTTCGACCACTGCCACCTACCGAGTCTTTCAGCTGTGTTGGAGACGATCCTCTCTGAGAATCTCGAGGTCAGTCAACGAAGAGAGAAACTGAACGAACAAAAGCGGTTGCTGGCGCGTGCTACGCACCTACTAGACCAGATTGCTGGGTAGCGTGCTTGCTTGCGCGCTCCGGCAGTCATTTGCCCACCGTGATCTATTATTCACTGGGCTCTCTATTGTTGGTTAGTTAGTCGCTCAAAATTGAAAACGAAAAAAGAAATGGTCTTCCGGACGGAAACGACATTCCGCCCTCGGTGGTGCTCTGGCGTCTGGTCCCTGGCTTCGATTCCTTGCCCAGGCCCCTATCGCTCGCATGTGGGCCTTCGAGATGGCGTCTTCCGTGCGGCCTTTTAGGGCCGGCCGCGCGGCCCTTAGCCGTTTTGAGCTTTATATGCGGATTCCTGTGCTTTAGATGTCGCTTACACTGTTGTACTGCCGGAGCTTCCACCTCCGCCGCAGACCTGTCCCGACCATCACCAAGAACACCAGCAGAATCACGACCGCTCCGAACCGCATCGTGGTCCAGTGGTTGTGCCCTTCGCTCTCATTGCTGCCCATTACCAGCGCGAAAGCCTTCCGACCATTTGGCGAAAAGATCGACCGCATCGCTCGCGCATCCCCTTCCTCTGCAAATTGGGAGGCGGTGCCATATGTGCCCAGGTACTCGAATTCCGGGGTCTCCAACCAACGCTTACCGTCCATTCCTCACCTAAAAAAAAAATCGACCCAAATACCGTCTAGCTGGCGGTCATTCACCCTTCTAACACTTCAGGTTGACACTTCAGCTTGAACGTCGTGCCGTGCCGCCATGCTGGTCATTACACCCACTCTGAGGACTCTGCTTCAAGACCTCTTGGCCGAATTTGACTCTCAGCTCGTGTCACTTGGAGAGACGTCGGAGGCAGACAGCACCGCCGACGAAAGCCAGACCGAGCTGGCGGCCAAACTCCGGGCCATTCCGACGAGCGCCAAAACGAAAATCCGAGTGAGATCTGCGGGGATGGGGTGATCTCTCATGACGCTAGTAGGGTGACAGATGATGGCAACGCGGAAGGGGAAGGTGGATATGAGTGGGTATGGATATGTTACTTTAGGCGCTCATAGATGGAGAGGTCGCCTTGGATTCGGTGTGCCCCTTAACCAAGTCGTTGATGCAGCTGTGGCTGGACGGTCAGAGCCGGTCCCTGGAGCAAACCTGGCGGGAGTGCGCGCAGCGTTGTACGGAGCAGAACACAAGTAGTGAGGAGCAAGAAAAGAAAAGTCATCTCGACGTTGAAAGCCGGGTCATCCAAAACGCGATTGTAAGTGAGCTCTGACTTGTCTTCGGGCCGCCAAAAACAAGGGCCTCCCAGGGTAGGGGTTTCCCAGTGGCAAAGGTTATAATGTGTATCTGCTCAGAACGAGAAGATGGTAGAGCGCAAGTTGGACGACGTGTGCAGTTTGGTTGAGTTAATGGGTGTGATTTGCGGGGACTTAAAGGAGAGTCAATCGCGGGTGTTGGAGTTACGGCGGACCCGGCGGGGAGACGTGATCCACGACCAGAATCTGTTGACGTCGATCCGGCAGAATTCGGCGGATCTTTCGTCGGCGGCGATTGCGGGTCGTATCTGGGTAGATGGCCTGATCGCGACCTTAAATGAGAAAGACGCCCTCTCGCCCCTGGTCACCAGGGCGGTGGGACCAGAGGGCGGTGGGACGCTAGCAGCACACACGGAAACCGTAATTGGCGCGGAAAGCACCCCGCTAGGTACTGCGGCCGGCGCCGCCAGGACACCGTTCAGCGGAGAGATGGAGTTGGGTAGGACAGAGCCGGGGAGGAAGGACCTGGGCTTTTACCAGAATGTGACCAGCTTCGTGGTCGAGGACAACACACGGGCCCATGAAGAAACGGCGCCCGAGGAGTCACTCTTGGCCGACGCCCCACGACCTGCCCCACCCGTCCGGCCTGTGGCTCGGCGACTCCGAGGCAATGTCAAAGTGGACGCCAACAAGGCACTTCAAGACTGCGCCGTAACTTACACCTCCCGCTTGCCTCTCCGGTCTCAGCTACACTCGCCACACTCTCTTTGACAGTTCCTAGACGTGGACTCCTTGGGGCATAGCAGCGCCGATGTCGGTGCCCAAAATCCGGCCGGTCTGTTCGCCTTCGGCTTGGGCTGTCCCGCCTCGAACGCGCCGCCGCCAGCCGAAGTTGCTGTCCAAAAAGCCGCGGTGTTGCCGAAGCGCCGCGTAAGCATCAGCGCCAAGTTCCAGCAAACCATGAATCAGATGACCCAAGACTTGCGTGAACTGGAGGGCTAGACAGACCCACTGAGCGGAGCCAGGGGGGCTAGACCCGCTGAGCGGAGCTGGTAGGAAATATTCACTAAGAAGAGTTCCCCAAATAGCTAGCTAGCTAGATCGAAGAGTTTGGTGCGTTCTGCCCCACAGCTGCTCTGAGCCGGAGCGTCAAAAGTACTCGTCTCACAAAATAAGTTTGTGGTTCAGAACACACGTTAACAGCCTACACCAGCAGGCCTCGGTAGGCATTCTGATACACCCACTGAGCCTCGCCTTCGGCCAAAGAAAAACCGCATTGCATCGAACGTGTATAAACATTTCTTGGGCGCCAACATTTGCACCGCACGGCCCGGCACGCGTCGCTGACGCGTCGGTGATGGTTTATTATCACCCGCTGCTGACGCTCATTAGCGTCGCCACGAGGTAGCTTTCATTGGAATTCAATATCTTCTCGACAGGCATGGAGTCGGTACGGTATTTCGTGTCAGTACGGTCATTGCGGTATTCGGGTGTCATTCCGGTATAGGTACGGTAGCCGAGGGGTATTGGTACGGTCTTCGTTGGAGTACGACAGGCATTAGGGAAGCTTGATCTTGTTGCGGACCCAGTAGCAGATTCCGATGCTCATTTCGGCCATTCTTTTTCGGTCTTTGAGAGACCGCCAGTCGAGTTTCCGGGTGATGGGCGCGACGGTGAGGGCTTTGGGGGAGGGTCTTCGCTGAGCAATACCGAATTGTACGAATTCGCGGGAGCAGAGGCAAAAGTAGCAGACGGAGCTGAGTCCGGTGAGTAGTGCCTCGACAGCGGACTGGCAGAGGACGAGGAGGCATTGTTGGTAGGCCCTGGGAGACGGGATGCGGTCGTAGCAGTCGGAGACGAAAAGGACGGTGGTTCGAGTCCCAGTGGCGGGGCTCCGCAGCGAGCCGCGGGGCGCCGTGCCGCCGCCCCATCCGATATAAAAGGAGGGCGGACCGGCGTCGGGGGCTCCGTGCGGATTACCACGCCCCATGACCATGCCTTGTAGTAACGGCTGCATCACGAAGGGTTGTAGTAGCCAGCCGTGCAGGACCAAGTCCACGTCCACTTCGCGCAAATATCCGGGCGTCAGCTCGCCCAAGGCTTCGAGCATCGCTCCCTTGAGGCCAGGGTTCAGTGGTGTCTGTGGCCTCAGACTACTTGGAGCAAGTACAGGCGCCTGCAGACTACTTGGCTTGAGACTACCCCGGGCCAGATCACGGGCCATTTCCCTGGTCATATCTGGTTCCCGCAACTCGCTCATCCGTCGCTCATGTCGCCCCACAGTCCTTCGCGTCTCACTCGACCCTCGTCCTCCACCCCGTTCCAACTGGGGCTGCTGCATCCAAAGCTCGCAATAGCCTCGCAGTTCCTCCTTCGCCGGCGAGATCAAATGCCTCGCCGGCCGCCAGAACCGCGGGTCCACCTGCACACGCACCACTCCCGTACCCGCCTGGAAACTCCGAGCCAACGTCAACAACTGTGGAGACCCACCCTGCATCGGAGTCCAAACCAATTCGTCTTCGCTCGACTCCAACGCACGATCTAACACACGACCCGCACCCTCCCCTCCCTCACGGTAATACAACATTTTTATTATGACCTCCAAACCACCCGTCCCCAAACCCCAAACCAGCCTTAACACAGACTGGAAAGCAAAATATATACAAGTAAGAAACCGAGCACTCCGGCACCCGACCACCCGCGGCCATGCGGGCACTCGAAGTCGGGCATTGTCATGTTTTGGTAGCTGCTAGCCGCTCAGGAAAACCAGTTGAAGAACTTGCCGAAGAAGATGGAGATAGAACGACTAGCATCAAAGATCAACTTCGCCAAAGACGTACACGGATTGCGAGATAACTGCGAGCGCGTCCTAGCCTCCGCACGCAACTCCCACCGGGGTAGGTCATACCAATTTCATGACGTGCTGTCGGAGTTGAAGTTGATAGATCAGATTGACGAGGTCTTGCGCAGACAGGGGTTCGGACCCATCCGGTGCCAAGAGGGGGACCTCTTCGACCCCTCGTTACACGAGGCGATTGAGCAACACGACGAAAGCGCTGGAGCTGGACTTGCCTACACAACCGTGGTAATCCGTAAATGCCATGCTGCAGGACTAAAGAAACTAGATACCAACGTCGCTCTTATGTACGCCCCTTTCGGTCACCCTTCCTATGAGTTTTTTGCCACCCTTAGTTCCACTCACGCTGCATTTGCCCTTCAGCCGGAGCATCATCGTTCCATTTCAGCCCGGCCAAGGTTTCAACTGTTCGAAGAAAAAAAAATTAGGCACAGCACCCCGTTCGCTTCTTGGAAGAAGACACCTACAGGAACCACGCATGAGACTGCGCGGGTGTGTCAGGGGGTTTCAGCAGAACCAAGGGGTACTAGACCACAAACGGGGTGTGTGGGACGAACGGGACCAAGATGTGGAATTACTTTCTTGGCCTTGGTGTAATAGGGGGGATAGAGATCATCAGTGTAGTAGACGGTAACGGGTTTCTTGGCGGAGCCATGGACGTGATCGGTGTCTTTGACTGTGACGCTGTTGGCCGGGACGTAGGAGGTGAAGAGACCGGTGGGCACGACGCCCGAGACGTGGGACACGGCCGTGCTCACATCCGGATTCACTCCCCGAGACCGGATGGCTGCATCGGCCAACACGTTGGACGATGCCGAGGGCATATACGACGCATTCAGATTCATGCCAGAGTGGTTAGGGGCAAAGGGAGCAGGGGCCAACGAACCGGCCATAGGATACTGGCCTTGGAATACCGACGAACCGCCGTAGATAGACGCCTGCAAAATACGGTCATACACCAGGGATGGCTTGCACACAAATGGTCACCATATCGGCGGTCCATTTACACAAGTCGCCGCTACACCTGGGTTGGGTATCACACACCTGGGCTCGCTCACTGGTTCGGTCTGTATGTTGTAACTGACGGTGGTGGCCATATTTATTTCAAAAGGATATCAAAAAAGGGTTGACGGAAGCAGATCCATGCACACACACCCCATCATACTATGCGCACACACGATCGAGTGGAGTGCATGTGTAAGAAGGCGTATGCTGGACAACTTGAACGATCGGGTTAGACACAACAGAGGGCGTTTTTCTTCTGGCGGCCGGAGAACTGTTGGAACTTGATCTCGCTGCCGTAACCAGCGTCTTCAGACACCGGGCCTTCTGAGCCGGGGAGCGGCGGGGGCAAAATGCCAACCGGGGACTGGTGATATACGGGCAGACTACCCATGCTTGTCGGCTGACTGACCAGGCGGTCAGTAGCGGACGGCGCGGTGTCGTCCTGCAACATAGGAACGGGAAGGGCACTGGGAACCAGCCGATTGCTCGACCCTGACGGCTGCACACCCGGACGGGGTGGTACACTAGAGCTGGGTTGTACACCCGAGGGTGGATGACCTGTTGGTTCCGGTCTTCGCACTGTAATCCTTGGAGGTGGAATAGCAGTGGCTACGGCGCTTGCTTGTTTCACGACCCGTGCGGAAGTTGAAAGGGAGTCAACCGAGGTCGGCATGGTGCGATTCATAGTGGCGGTGCGGTTCATTGAATGGGAATAGGTTAAAGGCCCGACGCTGTAGCGTTGCGCAGCCATTCGGCCTCGCCCGTTGGTCCTCTTGTTCGGTCGCGCACGGCGAGACGAAGAGCTCGAAGAGGAGGAGCTTGAAGAGGAATAGCTCGAAGATGTCGAGCTTGAGGAGGAGGAGGAAGAGCTCCGTCTCGATGTGTAGCTCGAGGTGTAGCCGGAGGCACAAGAACTGGTAGACTCGGTGTAGGCAGAGCTCACTGTTCTGTAATGCCTGACCTGCTTGCTGTGCCGTGCTGCTGTACGGATCGGCGAACGGCGGGTCGGCGAACGGCGGGTCGCTGAGTGCCTAGCCGGTGAGCGACGAGACTCTCGAACCGGGGAACCGCGACTGGGACTCGAAAGGCTTCGGCTGATGTGGCGATATACCTTACTGTTAGAACGGCTACGGACCGCCCGGGAACACACCCGTGGACACACGCCCGGCTGAGCAGGGGCCGGTTCGATCCGGCGACGTGGCTGGTAGGATACGACAGAGCACGACTGTTGTCTGCGATGACAACGACCATATCGGTCGTCATCATATCGGTCATATCCATTGTCATCATACCGATGACCGTCGTAGCGATCACACCGGTCACAGCGATCAGGGTCATAACGACCAGGTGGGTCATAGCGACCAGGTTCATAACGTGGGTCGGTTCTTTTGAGATACTTATTCGGAATAGTTTGACGGTCGGGGTTTCCGTGGTCTCGTCCTCTTGGCTCGAGTCGTGCAGAATAGGCCCGGGGGTCACGGCCACCTCCATCTTTCAGTTCGTCGCCACCTCTTGGGCGGTAATGCGCCTCGGGGCCATAGTCAGCCCCTAGCCCATAGCTGGCTGCTGGTCCGTAATTTGTCCCCGGTCCGTAATTGGTCCCCGGTCCGTAGTTAGACGGGTAAGATCTCGGAAGGCCAGAGAGCGGTGGCCATACAGGGGGTTCTGGGAAGGTGGGCCTATGCAAGTTGCGATAATATATTGTCATATCGTCCAAAAAAATGGACGCAGCTTTTGGTGCCCGTTTAAGGCCAACAAACAGCCTACGGCCCGTGACCCGCCTCTCCACCCGACAAGATGACAGCACCGACGCCCCCCTCCCGCGCAGGCAACAGACGCACAAGGCAGCCCGCATGTACCTCACACTCGGGGCGATCTGGACACCATCCTTCACAAACCACCTCGCCTGGTCAGGGCCGCGACGGACAGGGCCAAACTACGAGCTTCTTGCAGGTTGAATAACAAAAACGTTCTGATACGGCGAAAGAGCAAATCCCGTAAGCGCCCTCTCCCCGCACGCATGTGTGCATCTCCATGTGTATGCATTTTGCTTCTCCATGTGTATATGCGGTAGAGAGCAGTACCGTTAACTCGCAGTCAAAGACGGAGGAGTCGTCACGGCCGCGGTCGAAGAGCAGCAGGTCGCCTCGGGTGCCGAAAGCATCTAAGAAGGCGAAGAAGAGTGGCTGGGGCATTGGGAAATTGTTCAAGTCAAAACCGAAGAAGAAGGACATTTTTCAGCTGGCTCAGGAGGAGCGGCGGAGCAGCAGCGTATCTGACTTGTCCTACGACGGTCGAGCTGCGTCACCTGGGCGTTCTCCTGGGCGCCAGCAGATGCATTCGGGACGTGAGAGATCGCCTTCGCGGGATCGATCGCCAGGTCGTGCTCGGGGGCGGTCGCGAGACAGGTCACTGGGACAGGTGCTGGAGACGGGTAGTCTGTCGCGTGCGGGGGCAGCTCGGAGTCCTAGCACAGGTCGTTCTTCGAGTCTCGGTCGCACCTCCAGCACGGGTCGGTCAGACCGTGTCCCGTATCCGGACGTTGGTCTCTCAACCCGGCTAGTCACTCCCGACCGACTGCGAGTCAGTCCACGGCGATCCTCGGCTTTACCCGGTCTTCAGGGTCTTACGGGCCAAGGCTTCACGAATCAGGGCCTTACGGGCGTGGAAGAAGACACGTTGCCGTCCCACCGACGCCGAATGCGCGCGCTCTCCAAAGGCAACGTGGCCTACCGCACCGAGGAAGATGCCCGCCACCGCCGAAGCAATTCCGGCCACTCCTCCGAGCAGCTGTCTGCGGGCAGAAACCGGCCACGCCGGTCCAGCTCCGTGAGTTCTTCCGTCAGCTGGCGTCAGCCCGTCGCCGAACTCCCCCCCAGCCGCCATTCCGACTCCGTCAACTTAACTTTGGGTCAGTCCGGTAGCCGCCCAACTGGTCGCCGCCAGTCAGTGAGCCGACGTCAGTCCCGGGTCTCAGTCGAGGGGGAGGGCGCCGGGACGGGGACCGACTCCCCCGGTTTGAGCACGACCGCGACCTTCGGGCCCACCGAACACCCGCACCGCGGCCGAGCCCTCCGAGGCAGCGTCCGAGGCAGCCTGGACTCGGATCCGTTCGCCCAACACTCTGTCGAAAGGGGGCTGAATTTAGACCGGGACCGAGATTTGGAAATAGACTTTGAACGGAAACGAGAACGGAGAATGGGATCAAGGTCGGAGTCGAGGCCTGGTCGAGTGCTGAGTCGGTGGGATAGTAGTGCCGATTCGTACGGGCAACTGAGCGTGGGTTCGAGGAAACCGAGTGTTTCTTTTGCGACCACCCCGAGCGGAACTCCGAGTGGCCAGGGTGCAGAGAAAATGAGTGAGGGTTCAGATATCCCATCGATAATTGAGTCGATCCCGGCACCCCCGAAGAAGAAGAAGGGTATCATGAAGTCGATCGGTCATGCGCTGTTCGGCAAGAAGAAGAAGAAGGCCGCAAGTCCGTCTTTCGGGACAGCCGACGCCAGTGTCTCGGGTCAGGCCATGACGGACTATACTTCGGAAGACGGCGGCCGAGACACGGACGGAGAGGACGACTACCGAAACGACTACCAGAAAGACTACCACCGAGACGACTTGTACCAGAACGTCTACCAAGATGGCGGCCTTCGCTTCGACCGTCCGGAACAAGGAATGTTTGCCGGGGATAGCAGGAGTCCCATGTTCGGGCAGGAGGGCTCTCCGCTTTCGGAACGCGTGTTCTCTGGGAGGTCGACCTCCGGACACCCACAATTTGCTGAAGGTGCACCCGAAGGAACCGCCTTAGGCCGATCCTCCCTGGGCCAGACGTCCTTTGGCCAAGCGTCCTTGGCTGGCGAAGGGGCACCCCCTATCGGTCAGACACCTTTAGAAGCCATATATGACGACGACCAGCTCCTTGATAATCGGGACCACTTACAGGGACCGCTGTTTAATGTGGACCAGCCAATCTCCATTAAGGACGCGAAAAAGAAGTCTGGAAGCAGCGGATGGTTCAAGGGCGGCAGTGGAAGCAAAAGCAAAGAGAAGAAGAAGGCCGAGAAACGTCTCCAATACCTCCAGCAGGCAAGGGCGGATGTTAATGCTGCCGAGGTTTACGGCCTCAGCAGCGACGCAGTCGTTCTCGCCAGTCCGGAGCTGATTCAGGCCGAGGAACAGAGGAAAGTCAATGCCTTGGTGACCGAGACCAAGGAAGGGTTCTTAAGAGCCATCAATGAATTCACCAAGGCGGTATATGCGAAGCATGGAAGGCACTGCATGTGGAAAGCTGAAATGATCAAGGTGAAACACAATGTACTGAGCAACAATCAGGCGACCGCCCTACTCCAACATGTTGTGGATAATACCTGGGCACAAAGGCAGGAGTCCGAAGAGATCGTGGCAGCCATCGACATTTATACCAAACTTGCTAAGGGAGAGTCGTGCACGATCGACTGGAAGGTTTTGTCTTTCGACGACGCTGCGAGTCTCGCGAAGATACACATGCTCAAGGACCAACTAGAGAACTTTGTCCATCGAATTTTTGACGAAGACGCCGCTGTTAAAACTCTCGCACACACGTGTGCTAAATTGAATTTCGATGCCGCAGTTGCAGTAGGTTACGAACCTCTCTCCGCCAATGCGGCCGGGACCATTGATTGGGGACCCACTACGACGCCCGGGGAGCTTGTGGACGGTCGCTACGCTGCCGAGCGCGGCTTACCTGACTTACGTGACTATGCGAACTTGAGAGACGGTTTGACCTTTACTCAGAAGGTTGATGTTGTTTTGGATAAGGTAGTTCAGATGGCCCAGGAGAGTGCTCTTCGTCAGAGCAATTTATTGAGCGCTGACTTGGAGAGATTGTACAGAGACATGACGGAAAAGATTTCGAATTGTTTGGACTACATTGTTACTCGTCAAGGTAGAGGTAGCATCACTGCGGCGCCTTTTAATTCATTGGAATTTAAGCTGGGGACCAATTATGCGCTGCATCAACCAAGTATCAATTTACCCGGGTATTCCCCGAGCAGCAGTGACGCGCTATTTAATAAGAAAGGGGCATCGAACGACGAAACGACTCAACTCATCCGGAGAGTTGCTCTGAGGTCTCGCCCGAGTGGCAAGTGCGCTACCGGATTGGCGGTCAGTTTCGTGACCCAAGAATTTTCGGATTTTGATCAGTGGCTCAATGATTCTTTGCGATGGCAGACTGTAGATCTCAGTTTGTCCAAGTCAGTGCGCGACGGACAGACCCGTTTGGAGGCTGTGGCACGCGAGAAGGCTGGGTATTTGAAGGCCTCAGTGCAAGAGAAGTTGGCGCTCTTGTGGTCTGTGGGTGAGATCCGGATAAAGCAGGAGGCGCTGGACGCCGTAGTGGAGCAAATCGAGGCCCTGGCGTCTTTCGGTGGTCCGGGTAGTGTTGGAGTGAAGCAGACGGATTATGAACGAGAGACTATGGCTCGAGAGGACGCGCTGGGAACAATGCGGCAGGTGTGGGTTGCTCAGTACAAAGACTACGTGGCAAAACATGGCGGGTTCAAAACCTCGTTGAAAACCGAACAGGACGTGCGTCAAATGCACGAAGTCATTTCGGAGCTGTACCAGACTCTCTGTCGAGACGGGACCGTCATTGAGGACCTCGAGTTACAAGGCGCTCTCGACTCTCTGGAACAGGAGGTGAAGCATGCATCTCAAAAACTGAGTCAGCTCAAGAAAAGCCGACAGTCAGAGGAAACATCCATCCGGAAGCAGCTGTCATCCGCACAGACCAAACGCGATGCACTCTCGGCCCAGGTCGAGGAGGAGGAGAAGAAGCTCGCCGATATGGAGGAACAGAAGAGACAAGGTCTCAGAATCCAGGAAGAGGTGGACGACCTCAAGGAGAAGATTGAAGACGCCAAACAGCGCTACAAGGACCTGAAGCAAGAGATGAAGGCCGGCAAGCTCTTGCATCGAGACACTAGTGAGCTCGACGTGCTGAGGAAAGAATTGAGTCGCCAGGAGAATAACATCAACAAGGAGCTCGATCGACACTCGCTCACCGGCGGCAGTGAGCGCCACAAGGGCAAGTGGTTCGGAGGCCTGTTCGAAAAGAAACCGAAATCGGGCAGCTTGTCGGCGAAGAATCTGTCTGCACACAACTTATCTGCGCGGGGGCTGGGACCGTCGGGACTGGCACCGTCGGACTTGGGACAGCCAGAGTTGAGAGAGGAACTGTTTGCGTCCCGCGTCGCCTCGGCTCAGGAGGGCTTTCTGAAGGATGACGACGCCTCGTCGCCGGACCTGTACTACCTGCCGTCCGGCAGCGCAAGCCTGCCGCCAAAGGGCAGCAGCGCCGTTGACGGGCATAGTCCCGGCAGCCGCGCTCTGGAGCGTTCGCCGCTGCGGCCTGCGCCGGATCGGCACGTCCCGCGGCCGATGGGGAGTCCGCCAGATAGTTCGGAGATGGCCACGAGCGGGAGCGTGCTGCTCCCGGGCCTCGCCGGGTCGCAGCCGGGCGGGTCGCAGCCAGGCGGGTCGCAGCCAGGCGGGTCGCAGCCAGGCGGGTCGCAGCAGGCGGAGGGGGTGCTGCGAGACCCGCCGCACTCGCAGCGACCTGAGTACCCGGACTTGACGAGTCCAGAGGAGCGGTTGGGGAGTAAGTACGAGGAGACACGGAGTCTTCAGGAGCAGAAGCGTTGGCAGAGCTACGAGGAAGCACCGCTTTCGCGGCGCCGGAGTCTGGAGGACGGGAGCACCAAGAAGAAGGCGAAGTCCAAGTGGCTCGCGCGACTGGGGCTGGTGGGCCCGGGCAGTCTCAAGGAGCACCCGGACGGCGGCTCGTCCGTAAGCAAGGCGGAGCGCAAGGAGATGGAGCGGCGCGAGAAGGAGCAGGAGCGTCGCGAGAGGCGCGAGC